ACACACACACAAACACACACACACCCCTCTCCACCCCAAACACGGCGCGCCGAGTCTTTGACTTTGACTTGGAGAAATTATCACGGTTCTGCTTTGATCTCGGCGGGCCGTGGCGGAGATTGGGGGGTCTGATTTCACGCCGCTGACCGCAGACTCAACTAACGTCGGAGCGGACAGGGAGGTCTCGCGCTGAAGATGCCGGTTTGATATCCCATCCTACTGGGCAGGGGGGCGGGGCATTTCCGGAAGAGGCGGGCGGAAAGGGAAGCTACTCTCAGAACTAACAAATTAGTTACCAGACGCAGCACACATTAACTAGGGGAGAAAGTAGCTCCTTGCGAGGGGGCCATTTGGAAGCGATCGTCATTTTGGTTGCTGTATAACAACCAGAAGTCTTCTAGTAATTGTCTAAACGGTGATGATACCGCCAGATGTAGTAATCAAACGGAAAACTTGACTTGTGACGTAGGGGGGAAGGCATGTGGCTGATGTGATGCTTTAAATCTTTTAAATTTTAGTAAGAGTTTTACAGCACTTGCAACGCATTGCGGTCATACAAGTGATGAATATTAGAGGTTTTGCAAGAAAGCAACAAACATAAAAAAGAAGGAAAAGAGAACAGTTCGATAAATGTTTTTAAAAAAAGAAAGAGCCAACCACCTACAAACGCTTGGAATCTGAAAGTACCTATCATGTTTTAGAGAGTAAAAATTAAAGTGAACTGCGCTCACGTTGTCTTTTATATATATATATTTTTTTATCCAGAAGGGCCGTAACCACACTCTTGTGACACATAAAACAAATGCACGGGAAAAGAATGAGAGAATGCGTTTTCTTTCGTAAGACTTATTTCCTTGGCTGTTTAAAGGTCTTCATCTATAGATTATCCCGTTTCTAAGGTACTTCATAGGGATCCAACTCACATTTCTACGTGTAAAGCAAACCAAGAGCCTAACTCATAGACGCCACTGGCTAGGTTATATTTTTGTAGTTTTTCCAGTGCCTCCTTGTAGTGCCGTAAAGCTCTAACCGAAAGAAACAAAATATCATGCTTCGTAAACCCAAAAACTAACAATTTTTCATGTAATACTAAGAGAACTTTTATACATTCAAATGTGAGAGCATAAAGATGAGTAACAAAACAATATTCAATAAGCTGACGAACAATTATATCGCATATTATGTCTAGCTGACATTTAACATAACTAAGCAATATAATATGTCCTCCCTCGTAGTTACCCCACCCCCTCCCCAGGCCAATCCGCCCAATCCTTCAACAAAGTGTTTTATTTATAAGGGAAAAAAATAACATAGAGCCAATCCCTCCCGCTCCCCTAATTCCGGCCGTATTATCCGTTTGTTTCTATAATATTGTAGGTTCCTCTCGAATCCCGAACACACTAAGACATTTTTACCTTGACAAAGGCTCATCGGAACGCCAGACCAAAACGATTTACTTTATACATTTAAGCTACATAAACTGAATAATCAAATTTTAACGACTGTTTTGTTGGGTTCGTATTTTGGGGGATATTAGGTACATTTTTTATTCACACAACGGTACATGTTGTGTTAATTTTCCCTGAGAATATCTGTCTTCACTCATTTTGCGTTATTTTAATATCATCTTGATTGAGAAAGCAAATAGCTCAATTTAACATGGTCAGGCGTTCCATTTTAACCAATCAATCAACCTACATTATTCATTTTCAATTATTGTTCCTCCGCTGCCCTCCTTCTATTTTGTTCTCTCTATGTACCTCTTAAGATCAAATAATATGACCACTCCCATTTACGAAGCGGCGTCCACCTCAAACAGGAAACTTCTCTCTCACTTTGAGAACTGATTGAATTACAGACTCGCTTCTCTGACCTTCGTGCCTCCACTCTCCACCTGTGGTCTCTCCCTGGCTTCTCTTGGATTTTCCCGCCTTCAGACGACCTCTCTCTATCTCCGCGCCCATTGACCGTTACTCGCCCGCCAACACCTGAGCTGCTAAATTATCGCGCTCTTGCGAAAGAAATCTGCGCGTGATAACACGCCAACAGTTCTGAGTGAAAGGAATACAAATCTCTACAAGTTTAGCGGATATTAGATGTGAAGGGACGGTTTGATCGTTTGCTTTCTGCTCTCGGAAGCGGCCAGCTTTTCAGAGTCAGCCAACGACAAAGAGGGGTCCTTTGAACTGGCATGTGAAGAGACGGGTGGGATAATGTAGCTATGTCTTCGCGTGTAGCGATCGGATTTATGTGTTGTCAGTATCTTTGGTCTCCTTGTTAAACTCGGACGCATGAGAGAAAGAGGGTGGGTGCATTCCATTTGGTTAGGCATAACGTCAACGTCGTTCAACATCCGCTTGAGACATTTCGATACCTTAGAATTACAACAAAGTACTATCTGACATTTTTTGGTCGTTTTGAATTACTAAGACCATGAGTACAGAAACCTATAAACATTCTATCTGCTCTGTCTTTCAAAATCGTAAGATTATTCAGAGTTGTTATCAAGATAATCAAAGAATTGCATTTAAAAAACTTGCCATGTGAAATAAAAAAAATTTTCACGCTAAATTTCCCAAAACTAGTGCTGTGCAGATACAAATTTCTTTTTAATTCTAAGGTAGCAATTTACTGATGTTCTGATATTTAATAATAACATTTAGCCATGACTTCGGAACTCATTTTAATTTTTCAATTTTAAAAAAAAGAAAAGAAACAACGAGATAGCGAGATAACGAAACTACATGTTAACCTCCTCTAACGGCCACCTGTCCAAGACACTAACTTGTACAAACAACGACCACTTGCCACTCCCCCCTTACGTTTTTTTATATCATACCGACGGAGTGAAAGACGTCCATTTGTTCAAGAATACCATTTTTCTCCAACAACGTCGACTGTATATTATTGCAAGATGCCGCTTGGTGTCCTTATTCAGACAACGGCTTTATCTGGACACCTTCAAAAATTGATTTGTCTATCCTGGAATGACGTTGGGGATTTACATAGCATAGATCAGAAGAAACACAAACTAAGTTAATTTTATTTTTAATCTTTCTCTTTGACTTAAAAGAAATAACTAGATCTTGAATTTGCTTTTTCAGGATCTTTCTTTTTAATATGAACACACCATACACACACTCACACACACACACA